TTATGAAACTTTATTTATATTTTTGGTCAATGTTACACCTAATTGTTTGTGGTTTTAAACCTTCATAAATTATGAGTTCAAAGATTTCTGGTGCATCGCGACTCTTGTACTGTTACTGTAACTTGTTGTGTTCGCAGTGTATTTCACGACAGAGAGAATTTTAAAGGTGTCCAAGGAATAGATCAGAGGAGGATTGAGACTTTTTCAAGGGGCGGATTGGCTCAATGATTCTACTTCAGATAGTAATCTGAAATAGAGTGTCTCTTTGGAGAGGCAATTTTCTTATGAAATTGAAGGTCTTCACTTCAAATCTAATATCACCATAATGTTTCTTGTTGTTTTAGTTGTTTTGATTTTACTTTTGCTCTTTTTGTTACTCGCTGTTTAGAGAAATTACATTTTGTTGTTGTACTATTTGAACTTATGATTTCTTGGGATGTTGAATCTTATTTCTACTTTCACATATGAGTTATTCAAATTAGACGATTTTTATTATAAACAACACAACAATACATGAGCAGATAAGTCTTTTTGTCATAAATAACTGTTGCACAACCGTACTAAACAAACAGACACACAAATTTCCTTCAACAATTTCTACACAACAGCTTATAAATAAACTGCAGTTGCTTTTAGCCGACACTTAAGCTTTAGGGTCTTTGCAGCCGCCCAGAAAGCTACTGCGCAGAAGCTATTGCAGATAAGCTTGATGGTTGTTTGTTTATTGTTGTTTGAAAACAACAACAACACAGTTGTTTCTGGACAAATGACAATTTTGCCCCTTGGGGAGAATGTTATTTATATCAGAACTGTCATAGTAATATATTTGATATTTTAGAAATAAAAATTCATTTCAAAATAATGCAAAAAATAAGATAGATCTTACTTAGCACTGAGTATCATTATTACTAAAATAAATTAAAAGACTATTAAAATAAGATTTAATAATATAATAATATTATTTTTAAAGTGGAGATGGCGTATATAACGAGCCAGGTCGTTCTCTAGGAATACTATCCATTCTTGATCACTTTTGGTAGTGGAATATGTCAACTTGTCTTCCCACCAAAAGAAATCACACTTGTCTATGATTCTTTGCGGACACCTGTAAAACAGTCTCCCATAATTATGTGTCTGACATGACGTAAGCAGAGAACTCTGTAGTCCATAGTGGCATAGCACTCCTCAAAAGGTTCCTGAAATCCTTGAACTCATCTTTTCTGAATGCTTCAAAAGACAATCCATTTGTCCTAACAAAAGTATAAATTGATAAAAGAAGCAAATTATTAACAATTTTATGAGGCATTGGGTTTCAGATGACTCAGTATACCAACAAATGAATCTATCATTGCAAAAAGACAACATATCTTATAAAATAAGGGTTCTTGACTGTTTTTTACCTAAGTAATCATAAGCTCGTATTTGACGCATGTGCATATCATAAAAAAAATTCCATCCAGAAGAGCCTAAAAAATTGTAGCACCGAAAAGAAGATAGGAATTTGGTTGCCTGCATTAGAATTTCACATGTAACACCAATTAATACCGACAATAAGATCATCCTGAAGACCCACAAGGTATAACATCTCATCTTAGATCTGTAAAACCCAAAAATAAAAAATAAAAGAGAGGAAAAAATTAAAAAAAAAAACTTAAAAGCATTGTGAAAAGCTTGAACAATCATAAACAAATGTACAAAGAACGAAAATAAATTTCAACCGTATAAAATAAATAAAAATAAATTGATAAAAAGTAAGTAATTACATTTTTTATTAGACGTGAGGTCTCAATAAACTCAGTACATCAACCAATAAATCTGTCACCACAAGAAAACAACGAACTTTATAAAAAAAGAGTCTTTAACCCACGTAATACCAAACTTGTGTGCATCATATATGAATATTAAAAAAAACTTTGTTTAGATAATAAATGTAAATTAAATAATGTTAAAGAACATCAAAAATCGAATCACAAGGCTTGCAATAAGAAGATATAAATGTAGAATAACAAATAGATTGTTTTTACAAGAAAGGAAAAAAAATTCAAATCATAAATCAGAAAAAATTGCAGGAAAATAAATAAAAATAGTTCACGATTACATCACATAATCAATCATCCTTGCTGCAAAATAATAATAATAATAATTAACCATACGGTCAGCGGCCATCTTCATGAAGATCTGTCTGCGGGTCGAGTTCTCCAGCAAGTTCAAGGAGTTCAAATATAAAAACATGTCCTCATAAATATTGGGAGTTGCCTCATCTATGGAGGACACATGTGAAGTTCCAGGATCACTCGTGCATGAAGCCACCAATTTTGATATTTGGCTTCTGATGAAAGCAGTTGCTTCTTTTTTCCTTTTCTCTATTCTATGACGCTTTGACCTACATATGGACTCCAACTCATTTTATTTTTGGCTTGGGACTTCACCGAAGCCATTTAAATGCTCTACATCCAAGTCCTTACTAGAGGCAATCCATGAGTCCCAATGGTCATAACCCCACTAAACATACGATCCAACTTTTCTTCTAGATCAGGGTCAATTCCAATGTGTTTGAATTTCTTGGCGGTTGGTACTGTCTGTAATGTATGAGCAAGTTGTTTATTTCTTACAGTTTAGAAAGAGAAAGTAATGAAAATAAAATATTTCATCAATAAGTTCTTACCTTCAATTTCTCAAGCCATCATTCCTCAAAAACATCAATTGTTCCTTTAATTGGATCCCAATCCAAGCCCGTGGATCCCTGTTTTAGTTCATTCCATAATTTTCAGTCATTTTTCAACTGATCTCACTTATTCTTAAGCTGCAACCTAATGTGCCCTCTTCTTGTCATCCCACACGGCTGATGAACCAACTTCCTTAGTCTTAACCATTTTGATACTAGCACGGAAAAAACAAAGCATTAATATTTGACAGCAACCACAACACACACATTAGCTACCACAACTAGACAACCACAACCACCACAGTTCAAAACATAACACCACGACCACCTAGACCACAACCAATACACAACAACCTCACAGCAAAACCAGAGCCACCACATCACAATCAGAGCCACCACCCAACCCATTTATCAGCCACCACAACCCACAACACAGCTAGAACAAAGACCACTGAAACCACAACCACTCAACCGCACCACTACACACATCTCACAAACACCACACCATATGGCACAACACCACAACCACCCAACCTTCCCAACATCCACAACAACTCACATCACAATCACCATAGCCCACCACCACCACACATATTATAAGCACTAAAGCTAACAACACAACCACCAAAAGCCAGAGCCACTGCCCAACCCACAATCGCCACACCATAACCACCCAACCACACGCCCACACACATATTACAACCACCACAACACAAGACACACCACCACAATCACCAAACTCTTAGCACAATCACCACAACCCACAACACAACCACTACAACCCGAACCACAACTGCCACACCACAACCACCATAACCCATAACACAACTACCAGAACCCACAACTACCATAACCCATAGAATAGCCACCACATCACAACCACCACAACCACACAAACATACCTAAATAGAATTTTTTATAGACTCATTTGATTACTTAAAGTTAGCAAAATATGCTCTGAAGTTACAGTAACAAAATCATTTTATTTTCTTGTTGCATATTATTATTGCGAGGATGTATAATAAATTTTTTGCAGGCTTCTTATAGAGATAATGAAGAAGTTGACTACATACTATTGATGATGATCACTGAAAAGTACTCTTTCAGGCTTGTCCTAAACAATTTCTCAAAGAAAAATTTTGAGCTATCAATGCACAAAATAATTTCCACCACTACACATAACACAATCACCATAACCCACAATACAACCACTACAAGCTAGAGCCACCACCCCAACCCACAACCAAACACACCACAACCACCCAACCAAACCCTCACGCACATATCACAACCACAACACAAGACATAACACCACAACCACCCAACTCTCAGCACAACCACCATAACCCACAACACAACCACCACGCCATAGCCACCATAACCCACAACATAACCACCATAACCCACAACACAACCACCACACCATAACCAACTCAACCCACAACCAATCCCATCACAATCACCCAACCACACCTCCATACAAATATCACAGCCGCCACAACACAAGTCACGATACCACAATCACCCAACCCTTAGCACAACCACTATAACCCACAACACAACCACCACAACCCACAACACATCCACCACACCACAAGCACAACCACCTCAACAATCCACCACCAAAAGCAGCAACAACCCACCACCTCAACAATCCACCACCAAAAGCAACAACAATCCACCACCACCAAATCAACAGCAAAGGTCATCACCCCAACAACAATAAAGAAAATGCAACACCAATGTAAAATTACAGGAAATGCAAAAACCAAAATAACATAAATTGTAAAATCCAACAACACTAAACAAACAATCGAAAATCAACCACCAAATAGATATCAAAAAACCATTGCAAAATCATAATATCAGAGAAAAGTTTGAAGAGAATACCACAGGCCAAAGGAGAGGAAATGATTCAAGCAGAGACGAAACACAGCTCGTGGATCGGAAATGAGGAGGCGAGCTGGGAAGTTACCTCTAGGGTGAGGAGAGAGACAAGTTCGATCGTGAGAGATGGGAGAGAGAAGCTCTGCTTGGTCGTGAGAGGATAGAGCGGTAAAAAGTGGTCGCAAAGTTAATACGAATGCGGGACAACAATGCTTTATTAAAACGAACAAAAAAAATCGTGGCTTGAAGCCACGTCGCACGAAAAAAGTGACACCAAAGGGACCCTTAGGCTGAGAAGAAAATATTAGTTTTGGAGTTCGGATGCGAGCTACGTCCGAATAACAGACATGATACAATGGAGATCCGCCCTGTCGTATTACATTCATTGTCCGGACGCAGCTCACACAATATCTTTTCAATGCCAAGTAGCAAATGCATAATCCGCTCCAGGTACCGCTACATCAAAGCAAACCCACCGCCCCACGCCAGCCCGTCTCAGGCCGCCCACACTCGAAGCGTCTCTCTCCAGACCAGACCTCTACCCCTAATTCCAACGATCAGTAGGAAGAAAGAGTGCGGGGAAGAAGAAGGTGCGCTGAACGGTCAAGATGATGCCGACTAGCTATGAACCAAATTTAACGGCACGATACCGCGGCCTACCGTCCATTATTCTACGCGTTCTCTCACCAGCCTCTCTACACCTTAAGAGAGAGAGAGAGGCGGACGGAGAAGCCCAATTTTTCACAGAGAGAGAAAGAGAGACAGAGAGTGTGTGACAATTCTTTATCATCATTTCCCTTCCTGCTTTACTAACGATTTCTTCCTTACTGACCCGTCAGATTTTGTAACGATCGAGGTGAGATAGGATCTTTATCTTGACTTTTTAGCATATTTCTATGCACCATATTTGATTACTCTGTCGTTTCCATTCGATTCAGCTGAAATATATGAGAATCGTTGAATTTGTGGAGGAGACGATTTTCAATTTTAAAAGAGGAGTCTGTTATTCTGAGATTGTTGGGCGTTATTCTTATAGGAATATTTAAATTTTTTTCCCAAAAGTGGATTTTAGATTATAGCTGTGGTGAGCTGAGCAGAAGTTGTAACCATTGTACTTTGAATGATTCAGTATACCATGTTTGATCGATTCTGTTTCTCTGCCTTTTATAAATAGTATCGATACTGTTCTGACTTTTTATTTTTTGTTTCTGAGTGCAGTAAACGATTCCCTAATTTGGGAAAATTGTTTCAGTTCGTTGTCAGAAGAATAAGGCTAAATGGGATGGAAAAACATTTGCAAAAGGCGTGTTAGAGTATTCGCAGTTACAATAATGATATACCTAGACTATAAGGTCTTCCCAACCCCGAAGTTCTTTAATTGATGTATCTTCTTGCTTGCTAACTGGTGAGTCGTTTCTGTGCTTTGGGGTGCAGGCAGTGCAAAAGAAAGCAAAATGGGTTAGGAAGGAGAAGCAGGATGCGTTATGGGCGAAAACCCATGAGCGGAATGCGAGACGGGTTCTCAATTTGATAATAGAGCTAGAAGGATTGTGGGTAAAATTGGGTCAATACTTGTCTACTAGAGCAGATGTACTTCCAGAGGCCTATATATGTCTCCTAAAGCAGCTTCAGGACTCTCTTCCTCCTCGCCCTCTGGAAGAGGTATAATCACATCCTCTTTTTTCTATGCTTAGGGATAATGGGTCGCATTTTGTAGATGCGCCTAGTTTTGTACTTTTAATTTGAATTTTTAATACAAATGCAACTTCTCAAGGAAGAGGTATAAATTCTCTGTCTTTAGGGGCTATTTGGCAGAGGGGTTTTCATAGGATTTATCACTGGATTTGCTAAATCCAGCCAAATGGCAAAATACAGGAATTCTATGGATTTACAAATTTTTGGATTTAGTAAATCCAAAATTGCCTTTGATTCAGCCTAAATTTGGTTTTAAGGATTTAGGGATTTACTGAATCCTACTTAAAGCCAAACAGTCCCTTAAAGTGGAAAATTGTATGCTTATAACTTGTTTCAGCATGTACTCCCTTATAGTTATGTTAATGTGTATTTTTGGGTTATAGTTGATCTCCGCCAAAATAATAAGGCTTTTTTTTTTCTAAGATGAACTTCTTAGATAAGTAACTTCTGATTCTATGTCTGCATTTCACTAAATTGTAATTGATTTCAACATTCGTTATTTCCTGGTTGCTGTGCTCCTCAGTTATTGTTATGGTAAATGGCTTTACTAATGATGGAAATGTATGATATAGATGATTCTAATATTAAACATTCATATGGTTACCATTAAATTATTATTATTTTTCCTTAGTTCTTACTACAAAAGTATTAAACATTGCTAATGCTAAAGGATTCTGCCACAACTTGGGATATGTGAAATTTATATATATTTATTATCATTTTTTTTAGTGTTAAGTGGCTATGACTGTTTGAGCAGGTTCACCAAACAATAGAGGAAGAATTGGGAAAATCTGTGGGTGAGCTATTTTCAAGTTTTGATGGAAATCCTCTTGCGACAGCTTCAGTAAGTATTCACGATTAGTCTCTAAAGCCTATAATTCGCTGGGCTAAATGATTAGGGTTCTTTCTTATTGTGATGTAGGTCAATAAATGTATAGATTGTGCTTTAATACAATGTGTTGCAGATAGCTCAAGTTCATCGTGCAACACTGAAAGATGGGCAAGAGGTTGTTGTGAAAGTGCAGCATGTTGGCATTAAGGAAGTTATTCTAGAGGTATTCTATGTGAAATCCCATGATGAATAATTTTAAAACATTTGATAGTATTAAATGTTATAGATCCTTCTGTCTCTTCAGGACCTAAAAAATGCAAAAGCAATAGTTGAGTGGATAGCTTGGGCTGAGCCACAATATGATTTCAGCTCAATGATAGATGAATGGTGCAGGGAGGCACCTAAAGAACTTGATTTCAATCATGAAGCAGGTAATGGTTGATATTTTAAATGCTGGATAGGTGGATGGTTTTAAGTTCAATTAGAAATTATTTCATAATGTTCCCTATTGAGGTTCTTAATTATTGCATAGCTTATGCAACTGATTTTCGTCCTCCTTACTGCAGAGAATACGAGAAAGGTTTCCAGAAACTTGGGATGCAAAAAAGGCAGTGATGGGACAAATCATACTAATTCTGTGAATGTCTTGATCCCAGAAGTTATCCAGGTGCATCCTTATCTTGTAATTTTTTTTATTGAACAATCTAGATTTATGGAAAGATCCACATTAGTCCAGCATCTTTTGCTTTGATCTTATTTTAATTCTTTTTATGATCATCGATGACAGTCATCGGAGAAGGTTCTAGTTTTGGAATACATGGATGGCATTCGTTTGAATGATATAGAATCATTTGACGCATATGGCATCGACAAGCAAAAGCTTGTTGAAGAAATCACTCGTGCGTATGCCCATCAAATATATGTTGATGGATTTTTCAATGGTGATCCTCATCCAGGTAAGAAGACTTGTTTTGCTAAAATGTTTTAATTCCTTCTACATTCACCCGTGTATAGATGGTTATTGTTGAAGTAATTGCTGTTGCTTTCAATATAGGAAATTTTCTTGTGAGTAAAGAACCCCCTCATAGCCCAGTTTTACTTGACTTTGGTCTCACAAAGTCACTGTCAAGCTCCATGAAACAAGCACTAGCAAAAATGTTTCTAGCATGTGCAGAGGTACGTATTGCCATTTTTTATTTTCAGAAAAAAGGTAATTGCCACAATGTTATGATTTTATAGATGATGAATAGAAGAAAGAAATAAGCCAAAAACTAGGTATTTCATTCAGCATATGTGTTTAAATAGGGTTTACAACGTTTAACAAATAAACCCAATAAAAGCCTCTTGCCACATAATCTAGCTAACTCCGCTAAACTAAGTCATTTAGTGAGGCAATTAGCCACGTGCTCTCCAGTTGCTACATGACTTAGTTTTTACACTATGTTATTCAACTTCTTCTTGAGGAAGAATCTATCAATCTCCAAATGTTCAGCTCTATGGTGCTGCACCGGGTTGTTTGCAATGTTGATTGCCTACTTGTTGTCACACCATAACTTCATTTAAGTTCTCTGATCCACTTTGAGTTCAACCAATAAGGCTTTCAGCCTTGCTACAAATGATTATTTGTTGCTCTAACTTGAGACTAAGTTGCCACCTACAAACGTGCAATATCCTGATGTGGATCATCTGTCATCAACACAACTTGCCCAGTCAAAATCATAAAAACTCACAATTTCTACAGGCTCATTATTCCTAAATATCAATCATTTCCCTTGTGCACTCTTCATATATCTCAGAATCTGATACGTTGCATCCATATGACCATTTATTGGATCATGCATGTAGCGACTCGCCAAACTCACTATAAAAGAAATATCGGGTCGAGTGTGGGATAGATAGATCATGCGGCCCACCAGTCTCTGATACCTCTCACGATCAATCGATTCATCTGCCTTTGTACTGAGCTTGACCTTCTGATCAATTGAAGAGACTGTAGGTTTGCACTCCTGTATACATGTATCTGTAAGAAGATTCAGCACATACTTTCTCTAGGATATGACTATCCCCTTAGGTTTATGATCCACTTCAATCCCAAGAAAATATTTGAGCTGTGTCAGATCCTTTTTCATAAATTTCTTCCCCAATCTTCCCTTCAGTTGAGCAATCTCTACTTCATCATCACCAGTGATAATTATGTTATCCACATGCAGAACAAGTATGGTAGTGTTGTTGACCATAAAAAAATAAAAAATAAGAAAAGAGAGGCGAAATAAAAAAAGAAGAATCAACTTAAAGATTGATTTATTCCTGACTCTTGGAGGAATAATCGTTCCCACTTTTCTCTTCAGTTACAAACATTTGAATCAATGCGCAGTAGCCACTTTTGCATTGTCTTGTTCGCACCTCTCGTTTTCTCCCTTTTATTCTGTCGATTCGAAGGGTTGCCTTTTTGGCGATCAATTCTTCATCCTCTCCGATTTAGAATCAACACAATGAAGTTCAAAGGCTTTGATCTTATTTCTTCTTGGTTCTTACTCGTTGTTTTCCTCCACTTTGAAATCCTCATGTGATTTTTCCCCCGCCTTGTCATTTTGTGTCGAGTGAGGGAGAGATTTTGATTTCTTCTCTGCAAATCTCCTTTCCCCTTCTCCCCCTGTTCAAAACCACATAATAGCACCGAAGCATTGCCTCATTTGTCGCGATCCTCTGCGCCATCCTTTATGTCAAGCTCGCTATTCTGTTCAAAGCCTGCCTTGCCTGCGACAGTATAGCAGAACCCCTCCCTACGTTTCAACCTTTCAAAGTCGAGCATGTCCCTGCACTAAAACTTGCATGGTCCGCTCTGCCCTTACTCTCGTTGGTCTTGTCGAAGTCGCCGAAATCTTTCTGCGTAGCCTAAAATCCGTGCGACCCCACTGTCTCTCTGTGTTTGCAACTATCAAAGCTGAGGCTACCTCTCTGAACCTCATCTTCTTTCTCACATTGGCTCCACTGTCTCGTCAAATTCGAAGCTCCCATTGCGACCTTCCCTGTCGTGCCTCCCTAACTTGTTGTCGTAGCAAGATCACTGCCCTAGCTCCGCTTGAAAGCCTTCTAAACCCTCGCGATTCTCTGTCTAATAAACCGAGAGTTCCCCTTGTCTTTTTTTATTTGAGCTCGCGCATTACATTAGCCCAAACCGATTATTTTTGTGCTACCTAAGTACTTCCCTAAGGCATTTTAGTGTTTAATCGATTTTATTTTATTTATTTTATTTTATTATTGTTGTTGTGTTGTAAAAAAAAGAAGAAAATATGTGTGCTAGTATTGCTTTTTGTTGTCGATAACGTCGTAAACTCAAAAGGTATATTTCTGGGGCATTGCAGGGATTTTTTTTTTAAATATCCACTTGAGGAAGTGCAAGTATGTGTTCATGGGGAAATTAAACGTCGTTCAAAGAAAAACGTGGACTTGTTTGAAAAATCTTTTAAAATTGGGGTCTTAAAACAGTTGCACGTAGGAAAGTGAGTACCCATCCTTGAGAAATTGAGTACCGTTTTGGGAAAACAAAGTACCACTTTGGAAATGTTGGCTTTTGAACTAACCCTTTTATACATGTATATTGAAGACCCGTTGCATCTTTTAAGATCACGGGTTAAATTCACACTTTTGCTCTCCGATTGCAGTGTCTCACGACACTGACCAGCTCGTCTCTTAAGATAGTTGAGAATGTTGACATTCTCCGATGCCTCTAACGGTGGTTGACGCTGGGAGGTTGCCAATATCTTTGGTGATTTGGAATTGTAATTAACTTAAAATTTTAAAATGTTAGAGCTTATAAAATAACATAAAATTTAACCCAACCATTTGAACTTTAAAGTGATTTGGACTCGAGCTTTTAAAATTTAGGCTCTTAAGGCTTTTAAAGATAAAAAATCAATTTTTTGGGCCTTTCAAACTTAAAATTCTATAGTTTAAAATAAAAGTCAATGGGAACTTTTAAATTTAAGTCTCAGTGGCTAAATTAATCTAAAGTTGAACCTTCAAAATTAAGAGCTTAATGTTTACAATTAATCTAAAATTTGGAATTTTCAAATCTAAACTCTTAAGTTTGACTCATTTGAATTAACCCAAATATTAAGTATTTGTGCTTTCAAAGATAACCTAATACATTTGGGGGCCTAGCTTAATTTAAAGTTGAAATACCAAAATTCATAAGTCTAAGCTTAAACTGAAATTCAAATATCCTGAATTCAGGAGCTAAGTTTGATTTAAAAAAATTCGCCACTAGATTCACAACACTCCAATTAGCAAACAGAAGACAGTTATTTTTTAAATTTTAAAATCATAATGCACTTGCAAATACTTTTGCTCTAAATGATTTTAAAATCTATATAAAATTCATGTTTATTTTCTAAGTCAAATGAAATATTTTGAAATATGAGTCTCCTCTTAAGACTTTTATGAGTACTACTTGAAATAATCTTGTGTATATATATGCTTTAAGTGTCTATATATAAAAAAATCAATTACACGTTTTTAAATGCCCACATGTGCTTCAACCAATGTATATAATGTTTAAGTAATGAGTTTGAGAATGTTGTGCAAGCTACTCAAGTTGTTTTGTTTATAAGATAGGATTGTAAGTCCCGCCTCACTAATTCGATCCTCCTCATTACAAGGATATGAGTTGCCAAGTCAAGTAATTTTAAAATAAACGTCAAAATCCTGAACTAAAAAAATTACAAGTACAATTCACCTAGTTTGATCATTCTTGTAAGGACAAGAGTCAACAAGACTTACACCCTAAAATGATCAAATTAACTGCCCATTTCAAATAAAAAAAACTTTAAAATATTTAATACCCCGATGATGGTCGTGTTGATCGAAGATTTCAACCGGAGGGTTTTATTTTAAAATTATGTTTTAAAGTCTATTTTGAATTCAATTATTCAAATTACCGAACCCGATCCTCTGTAAGCTAGACATAGTTGACAGGGTTTAAGATAAACAATTTTCCGATGATGTCCGTGTTGATTGAAGATTTCAACCGGAGTGGTCAATCTTTTAAATTAAGCTTTTCAAAATAATCAATTAAAACTCAAGTTAAAATTCATATTTTAAAAGCTAAAAGTAAATTTCATCTACCCTTCGTAACAGTTTATCAAGGGTGATAAATTTCTAACCAACTTCAGTTCACTAAGTGCTAATGTCATATGAAGTGTATCCCTATATTCAAAATCAAATTAATTGCAGATCAGTAAGAACATGACTCGAGTCTTCTATCCGTGTGGTTCTACTGTCAAATGACACCACAAAATAACGATTACGACCATAGCCATCTGACCGGGTGGTTGCCGCCAAATGAAATATTATATTACGGTCACGACCACAACCCGTATGTTCCCTAACGACTTTCTAACTTTTGAGTTGTGAATCACAAGTGTTCATTTGATTGAGACAAAACCTTCTATTAGCTAAAATTGACTTAAATTTGTCCTCTTAGACAAATATCCACCCCAGATCTGCAAGGATCTATTGGATGGTGCAACCCATGGTTGCTGACAATGATTCTTCTGTCAGTTTGGGTCAATTACCTCATCTGAATAAGTAGATTATGGACCACAATGAGCCTGGATGATGGTACTATGATATCTTGATCGGGTGTCATCTCCAATCCCCCACCATCCGCTTTAAGCTTCAAGTGGTGAATTCGACAATTTAAATCTTAAGTTTGCTGCTATTATATATTAAATATTTAATTCTTCATGACTAGTTTTAATCAAAAGTGTTTTCTTATATTGAAAGGGGTAATTAACCATAGGGGCTTGTGCCTATGAGAAACCTCCAAAGATCAAAAATTTCTAGCTAAATGAAGGTGAAATCTTTGGGTAATGTTTTATCTAGAATCTAGCCTGTCTTCTGAAATTTAACTCTCCAAAACTCTCAGGAAATCGAAGATAAATTAATGCAGAGAGTTTTTGAGGAGCGGTCATGAATTTTTTGAGCCCACAAGTTTGATCTTCATGTTATTGAAAAAATACCGTGTGGTCTGCATTGATCTGCTGATATCTCATGCCAACTATCATCATTTTAAACTTATCAAACCAGGCTTGAGGAGGCTGCTTCAAGCCATACAATAACTTCCTTTAGGGCTGTCAAAAAAGCTTTTTTTTCGCGAACAGCTCGTGTTCGAC